TTGGAGAAGGATATCATGCTTGGTAAGATGGAGGGTCAGAGAAAAAGAGGAAGATTCCCAATGAGATGGATTGGGCCAGGTGGCAGCATTGATGGACTCAAGTGTACCAGCGGTAGTGAGGTTGGCCCAGGATCGGATATTGTTTCGTTCTGCAGTGCATGGGGTCACTATGAGTTGGTACCGACTCAATGGCACCTAACAACAACAACAAATCTCTAAGTAGTTAACAATAAGGCTTAATTTTCTTATTGCTGTTAGCAACTTAGAGAAAACAGATGCCAATTTAGTATCTCAAAAAAGAAAACATAAGTATTACTGATATGTGATCTTTTCTTATTTTCGTTTCCCTCCTAGATAAAACCAGCTGATGTAGTATGCAGGCCATCGGTTGATAAAGAATGTGATTTTACTGAATATTGTAATGGTACTTCTGGAAGTTGTGTGCCTGACACTTTCGCACGCAATGGACAGTATTGTGACTCAGGTGATGCTTTCTGTTATCAAGGAAAATGCCGATCATTTGACAGGCAGTGCCAGGCATTAATTGGAGGAGGTAATGACTATACTTTTTTTTTTCTTAGTATCTCAATTCTGATTTTAGCTTGATAGGATAAAAAGGTAAACATAACTTATTAATGAGTGAAACTTGCCTACGGTATTTTGTTGTTGTTGTTAAGTGCTGTTGAGTCAGCTCTGACCCGCAATGATGCTATATAGGTTTTTCTAGGAGTGGCTGATGACGTTGTGGTTAACAGTCCAGTGCTTATCCAACAGTGCCACACCAGGATTTCTAGTGTATAGTAATGTTAAAGGAAATCACATCTCTCTTAATTCTGAACAAAAAAGCAAACAAAAACCTCTGAATTTACAGAAAAAATTTATTTCACATAAGGAATAAAACTCAAGTAGAAATACAACTTCTCAGATGATTATATAGATTTGGGGAGTGAGGAATTTAGTGTAGACTTAAATGATTTAAGAGGATTTTAGTTAAAGAAAATTGGGCTAATAAACAATTGGGCTGTGTCCAGAGTGTTGTTGCTAAGTGCCATCGAGTCTGATTTTACTCATAACCACCCTGTTTCCGAGGGTGGGCTTATAGGTTGAACTGCCAACCATGTGGTTATCAGTCCAGTATTTATCCTACAACACTACACCAGCATTACAGTGTAGGATGCCGTTTATTTCCTTTCTTGCCTTATTGCTCTAACTAGGCCTTCCAATATAATATTGAATAGAAGTGGTGGTACAAAAGCATCATCGTCGGGTTCCTGTTCACAGGGGAATGCTATCAGTTTGTCTCCATTGAGACTAATGTTTTTCATTATTTCATTATTTCTGTGTGTGTGTGTGTGTGTGTTTGGTATATGCCAAAAATTATGTTGAGGAATTTCACGCCTATCCGTTTTTTTTTTTTTTTAGCATTTTTTATTAAGAATGCGCATTGGATTTTGTAAAATGCCTTTTCTACATTAATTGATAAAAACATGTGATTCTTTTGTTTTGCTTAT